ATGTCTCGTCCTTTGATATAGATGTGTCCGCAATCCAGAAGATGTTGATGCTCGTGTGTTGTCTAGCGATGTTGTCGTCTATTCAGCATACCGGAACCAGCTGGCGTATTTACTTGCTGGTTAAGCGTACCCAGGATGCGAATTTGGACATTGCGCGAGACAGGTTGATTGTGGCCGATATTGCGGTGAGCAATAGTTCGTTTCGGAACAGATGCAGCTTGTCTACTCTTTCCACCGGTTGGGGCCGTTCCTGGTGGATTCGTCGCGCTCAGTCTTAATTGGGGACTGCCATCATGGACCCCCAAGATTTACAGGGGGCGGAGACCTAGCGGGAGTTTGGGGGATCATAACGTGGTCGATCTGATCGGCGAGTTTGGGTTCGTCGATAGATACCGATTGGATCACCCCCCCACCCCAGGGAGTGGGGGAGATGTGGACGTGGGCACTTACTTAAGTGGCCGTTTCTCCGCATAGCCAGCTACCTGGGTAGAATGGTGTTAGGTACTAGGTCTAGAATGACTGGACACTGGAAGTTCAATCTGTCTTTACTGGACAGGCGGGACTTCTGGTAACAGCTAACTAGATTAATGCAGCGAGAACTAGTGGAGGCGGTTATTGGGAATAAGTGGTGGGAGAAGCTTAAGGATAGCATTAGGGCTTTCCCCACCGAATATAGCCAACGACTCGACCTAGATAAGGCTAACAAAGTGAAGTCTCTTAAGGATAGTTTGTTCCAGGCGGAGGCTGGTGGGGATTCCCTCGAGATAAGTTTAGATAGACAGGTTCTGAAGCGAGGCTAGCAAGCGCTACAAGAGCCAGATAGTTAGACATAGATTAAACAAGATGTCCAACGAAGAGGTGAATATGGGCGCAAGGAAGAGATCCGTCGAAGTTTCGATCGATACATTCGGGACGTACTCTGAGGTTAACCAAAGACATGTGCGAGGCATTTCAAGGGACGTTTTACCAAGGAGCTTGGTCTCTATAGCGACGAGTTACGTAGCATTTTGGCTGACTTTCCTCAGCTTGAGCCGACTGAAGCGTCTAGTTGCGAGGGTTAGATCACAGAAAGCGAAGTGGTTAGCATTGAAGAAGATCAGCAGTGGCAAGTCTCCGGGACTTGATGGACTACCCTACGAATTGTCCTTGAGACATCTTTGCTCCGATTTTGACTGTCGGGTTCAACAACTGGCTCCAGCTGGGGTCCGTTCCTGACTGAATCCCCAGGGGTATGATCACGTTGTTGAAAAAGGGCAAAGGCGTTGGTGGGCGGGGCTTAGATGACTATGTTGCTTAAAACAGAATTAAAGATTTTACCCAAGATCCTGACGGAGCGTTTGCAATCAGTTGCCAAGAGTCTGTTGGAACCCGAGCAGACTTGTGCTGTGAAGAGACGAACAATTCAGAAAAACCTGCATCTGATCCGCACGATCGTAGAGAGCGTAGATCAATTTAGAGCATTTCAAAACGGTTGATGATTTCGACCATCAGCTGATGTCCTGCAGGTCGCCGGATTCAAATCCAACCTGTGCAAATGTATCAGCCTCCTATATCGCACCCCCAGTACAGGTGAACGGAAAGCGGTCGCGCGCTTTTGCGATATCACGGTCGATCCGACAGGGTTGCCCGCTGTCATCGTTGGAGCCCCCGTTCACCGGTTAAGGGACAGGGCGTCCAGCTCAACGCGAAGTCGCCGCCGCTGGAGTTTCTAGAGCCAGGGTTTCTGCGTACGCCGATGGCATATCCATTTTCGTGTCGTGCTGCAACGACATTGAAGTGGCGCAGAAGACACTTGAACGGTACGAAAAGGTGACCGGGGGCCAAGATTAACCACAACAATTCTTCCGGTTTACGGTTAGGTGCCTGGAAGGGAGTCGTGTTTCGGGGCTCTTTAGTTGAACAGACGGACCCAGTAGCATTCTTGGAGTGTAGTTCGGGAACGTTCTCCAGCTGAAGAAGAATTAGTCCAAAGTACAAGCAATGGTCGAGAATTTCATCCGTCATCCATTCATATTTTCATTTAGGATAATCTTGATTGCTGATGTTACTTTAATTCGTTGCTTAAAATCGAAAACTAACAACGAATACCATGTAAAATACCAGAGTGAAAACGGTCAATACTATCTTCGGATATTTTATATTCGTCATTTCAATATATATATATATATATATATATATATATATATATATAAGAATTACCTGAACATCGGAATAGACTATTTCAAACGGTTCTTTAATGGCTTTTGTCACCCACTAATAATACTTATTAGAAAACCCAGGTTGTGTGTGTGTGCCTGTTCGTTTATATATTAGATCCGATTTCCTACATTTTTCAACCGATTTCAACAAAACTTCACAGGAGTACGTAAAATTACTTTGCGGTGGTTCTGACATCGCCAAAAATTGGAAAAACACAATTGTTTTTGCACGAAATCAATTTGAAAACACGATTAAGAGGCATCGCTAGAATGAAAGGGGGACAACTCATATCGAGTTATAC